ACACACACACACACACATACACACTGTTAAGTTAGTAATATTGTTAAATTCAGAATTGTGTTTGTAATATCTTTTATAAAGAGTATGCAAGGTGTTGATGTTCATATATTCATTTAGGTCCTGATGCTCTGATGTTTTACTGATGCATTATGGGTAAGAGAGATAAGATGGCTCAGAGACACCACACGATGTTTGTCATAAACAATTATAAAAGATGGCAAGTTTTCTATCAACCTTATGACATTTATAACACATACATACACAGTCACACATGCAAACACATACACACACACAGACACACACACACACACACACAGACACACACACACACACGCACACACAAACACATTCTATACTAAAAGCAAAATTTACATTATTTTCTTAATAGATATGTAAAAGAATACATGCATCAATATGTGATTAATATCCGTTCGAAAAGCGATAATTGTGAAGAAGTGTAGACTATTCTGAAGAAATCATCTGGAAGTCTTAATGAGGATACCTTGAAATAGGTAACTATTTTTTATTTCTTTATCTTTTCTTATTTTGTTTAGAAACCTTTGGCTAAAGAGCCTCTTAAATTTAACGAGAAACTCTAGCAGAACTCACGCGAGAGGAAATGAGGTGGAAGCGATAAATATATATATATATATATATATATATATATATATATATATATATATATATATATATATATATATATGATTATACACTCACATACACACCTATATATACATATATATATGTATATATATATATATATATATATATATATATATATATATATATATATATATATATATATATATATATGTATATATATGTATATATACATGTATATATTCAGATATATATATATATATATATATATATATATATATATATATATATATATATATATATATATGTATATATATGTATATATACATGTATATATTCATATATATATATATATATATATATATATATATATATATATATATATATATATATATACATATATATATATATATGTATATATATATATATATATATATATATATATATATATATATATATATATATATATATATATAATGTATATATATATATATATATATATATATATATATATATATATATATATATATATACATATATATATGTATTTGTGTGTGTATGTACATTTCTATACGCCTCTATATATATATATATATATATATATATATATATATATATATATATATATATATATATATATATATATATATATGTATATATATATATATATATATATATATATATATATATATATATATATATATACCTTTTTTTTGCTTTCGTTTTATTTTTTTTTTTCTTTCTTTCTTTTCTTCTTTTAACTGCCAGCCTCTCTCCATTAACTATTGAGAGATTATATGGCAGTGTCACCCTTGCCAGATTGGATGCCCTTCCTAATCAACCGCGGTTCGAAGCGCTAACACTTGTGCCACGGCGGTGCTTCCTATATATATACATATATATGTATATGTATATATGCCTATTTATATTCACACATATATATATGTGTGAATATAAATAGGCATATATACATATATATATGTGTGTGTGTGTGTGTGTGTGTGTGTGTGTGTGTGTGTGTGTGTGCGTGTGTGTATGTGTGCGTGTGTGTTGGCTTATATACATTCATACTGTATATATATATATATATATATATATATATATATATATATATATATATATATATATATATATATATATGAAAGAAGTGAGTTATGATAACGATGTGAGTTATGAGTGCTATGTTGTGATGACATAGCATACGGATGGTGATACCAGTGTTATCGTATGCATATTGTGATAATTATGTTATTCTATTAATACACTTCCTTTTGTGTGATATCTTATACCATGTGAAATATAGAAGGTTATGTTTAATTTATATTGCTGTGTAGCATATCACCTGAAAGAATGAGATTCTCTGTACGATTTATACAGTACAATATTCTATTTCGTCTCTGTAGTCACACATCTGGCAGTAACACTCTCAGACGGAGCCTGGCGTATGGGGCAGAGGAACATGAAGTGTTCCGTGTTATTTTTGTCAGAGCTGATCTCCAATGAATCTAATTTAGTTTTCATCGGTGTTTTCTTCACCCTCAAGCATCACAGAGAAACACCAAGCAAACATAGAAGACGAACAATAATGTATATACATATAATATATATACATACACACACACAGTGGTAACGCGCGCGGCTGTTGGCCGGAGGGTCTGCAAGCGCACGGGTTCGAATCCCGGCCACGGTCCGAGGTTAGGAAGGGCATCCACTCGGGGTAACGGGCTCCACCTGCCACTTCCTACCTGCCCGTCAAGGGGCAGGCCCGTCCTAGCCCTTGATCGTTAAACCGAAATCAACAAATTAACTCCGCCATAGCCGGTCACAAGCCCAGGTTGAGAAAGGAGGAGTGTTGCTGTCAGGCCTCGTAAGCCAAGCATAAAAGCACCCTACGAAGAAC